AAATAGACCCTGATTTGGCTCGTTAGGAGTAGCTCACTTGTCTGTCTGCTTTCCTCCCTAGCTTGCCGCCTCCTTTTCTTCTTTTCCTATTATCTTCTTTGGTTGTATGTGAAATGGACAATGAAGAATACACCGCCTTAGAGGAATGGACAACTTTCTTATCTACTTCCTGCCATAGATGCCTGAGAACCCAGAGACCACTTGAAGTCTTGAACAGTCACCGTCTCTTTTAACCCAGTCTGGAGGTTCTTTTGGCAGTATAACTCTCAAAAATTTAATTGGCTTTTTATTTATTAGTTTCCAGTCAGCTCCATGGGCCTTAGCCCCAGCCACAGTTCTTTCCTAATCATACTTAAATTTGCTACGTAGCTGTCTGTCTTAATGGCCCCATACTTCTTCCTTGACTTAATTTTGAATACAGGTATTTCTGCTATACTGCCATACAGGCCTTCCTGGATTCTGCAGTCATACATTAAAATAAATGGGGCTTATGGAAAAAATCAGATTGTGGCAGGGCACTCAAAATCTGTGAAACATTGTAACCAGTACACTAGTAAAAACAACAATAATTATAATAAATGTATTACAATCAATAAATATACTAAATATATATTATAAATATACTAAATCTCCATTGGCATACGCACCCAGCATCAGTCAGTTGAACCTTTCCAGGCTTAATCCCCTGGGTGGTTGTTTCCTCCTCTGAGATTGGGATCTTGAAGACATTCGCTTACAATAGAGACCAATTTCATTATAATTAAAAATTCGACGTATGAGATGTGTAGGCTTTGGTGATCAAAAACTTTTTTTAAATTTTTTTAAAGATTTATTTATTTATTTGACAGAGAGAGAGCACCAGCAGGGGGAGCAGCAGGCTGGGGGAGAAGCAGACTCCCCGCCGAGCAGGGAGCCCGACGCGGGGCTCGGTCCCAGGACCCCGGGACCGTGACCTGAGCCCAAGGCAGTCGCTTAACGACTGAGCCCCCCAGGCGCCCCATCAAAAACTTTTAAAAACAGGAGGGGAGACATATGCCCTCAACTTCACCAGCTATAAAGTGGAAGGTTTCGTGGTGAAGCAGGTGAACCAGCAACTACTTGCATCAAAAGAAGGGACAGAAGTAGGGTGTTCGGCTTCTTTCTCACGGCCGTTGTGTACCGCTCAGGGTGTCTCGTTCGTTGTGACAAAGCTTTCTCTTGATCCTTTTAAACATTAACTTGCAGGGGGAGATCTCATATTAACCAACAGGACTTTGGTGTTACACTGACATCACTTCCCCATTTACTAACAGCATTTGAACGAATTCACATTAGAGAAATGGGCTTTGTAGCAAAATACCCTAAGAAACTGCTTAGGTGAGAGGACCTCCCGGTGTGTCTTTTAGAAAAGCTATTTTACTGGGCACCGCCTTAATCCATCAGGAGGTTTAATCAGTGGTTGTAGGGGCACATCCTTTGGCTTGATCCTGCCTCGAGACTGAATTCTTGTTAGCATTTGTAGCTCAAGACTTTCTCTGTTTTTTGTTAAGCATCTGCTTCTTCCAGCCTTACAGATCGCTGACTTTCTGAACTCCTTTAATCCTGATTATAAACCCATCAGTTCTTTTCTGAATTCATCCTTTTCGTGTAATAATTTGTCAAATACGGCCAACAGTAACCCAACACACTGTCTTCACAGTCCATTTTCCTGTTAGAGCTGTGAGTTCTCTGTCTTCTGAGATAAGTAGGTGATAGTCTCACTGAGAATTTCACCACTGCTGTCCTGTCAGCCTCCTGTACCCATTTCCTTGCTCCTTTTCACCAGCTCCTAAGCCTTTGCCATATATTTGAGTTTTCTGGATGAGGCAGCACCCACTTCTGGATTCCATCTGTATCAGCTAGGAGAGGCCAGATTATGCATGATGCTATAGTACTAACCAACACAAGATCTCAGAGGTTTTAAAAACACACTCTGTGTAAAATTAAATGAAAAAGAAAGAGAAAATCCACTGCACCGTGCGTAGTCTGTAAATCATTTTCGTCACTCTAGGACCCGGGTGGATAGCAGTGACAGCAGTTGTCATTTTGAAGATTGGTAGTCCCTGTGGGAGAGGGAAAAGAGATCCAGAGGGTCTGATGGGTTAGAAAATGCCCTGTCCTTCTGCATGCCGCTTCTACTCAGGAGGCGCTACCTTCCAGCAGTAGTCACATGGCCCTACCCAACAGCAGGGGAGGGGGCGGGGTCAGGGTCAGGGTCAGGACAGGCAGTCCTGCCACGTGGGAAGAAGGCTGAGCCCAGAGGTCTTTGGGAAGAACACATTCATTATGACCACAGAGGATTTCCCCTCAATTATTTTTCTCTGTCTTCCTGCTTTTTGTTTAATTCCTAGCTTTTGCTGGTTAATTGAATTTTACTATCTCTCCTCCCTTGCTTAATTTGAGATAATTATGTGAGTAAGTTTAATGGTATTTGTAGTAGTTCAGATTAGTTCCATGGGTCAGAAGTTTTGGCACATGCAAAATAAGGCTAAGTAGAATTAAAAGCCACTGAGATCTTCCTGCTTAAAATATGAAGTGTGAAATTTTGATATGTGCAAAATATGTGGTTATAGGGACAACCAAACTTAAGTTATTTTCGAGTGTCATTTGCCAGAGTAGAAACAGACCATGAGCCGTGGAGTCAGGCAGGCCTGGGTCGAGCACTGCTTCCGTCATTTAAGAGATATGTAATCTTAGACAAATTATTTAGCCTCTTAGAGGCATAATTTCCTCATTTATAAACACAAACAAGTACAAATACATCTACAGATGTCAAGTAAAACATGGTGGCATTTATCACCAGGCCTTTCTGAAATTCTACTGAAATGAAAGTAAAATCACTTTTTAATTTTTTTTAAAAGATTTTGTTTATCAGAGAGAGAGAGCACAAGCAGGGGGAACGGCAGGCAGAGGGAGAAGCAGGCTCCCCGTTGAGCAGGGAGGGGAGCCTCGATGTGGGGCTTGATCCCAGGACCCTGGAATCATGACCTGAGCCGAAGGCAGACGCTTAACCGACTGAGCCACCCAGGCGTCCCTATTTTTAATTTTTTTTTAATTTTTTATTTATTTTTTGTAAGCCGGGGGGTGGGTGGGGTAGTGGTGGGAAGGGCAGAGTGGGGAGAGAGAGAGAATCCCAAGCAGGCTCCACGCAAAGCACAGAGCCCGACACAGGGCTCGATCTCATGACCCGAGCCAAAATCAAGAATTGGACACTCAACCGACTGAGCCACACAGGCATCCCAAAATCACTTTTCTTAAAAGAACAAATCCATAAGGACAAAGAAAACAGAAGATAGTAACAGAGGAATGACAGAGTAGTTGTGGACTACATAGTAGAGTCATCATAATGTAAGAATATTGATTTAAGAAAAAGCTGTGATAGAACTCTATCGGGAGGATGGAGGGAGAATTGGGAGCGATAAGGTGAGAAAAACTATAGTGGGAGACAAGTAGTAACATCTTAAAATGAAAAAAATCAAGAAATAGAAACATAATCATGTTTAGAAATATGGAAGGAGAGGTGCCTGGGTGCCTCAGTCAGTTAAGCATCCGCCTCCGGCTCAGGTCATGATCCCAGGGTCCTGGGATAGAGCCCCGCATCGCGGGGAGCCTGCTTCTCCCTCTCCCTTTGCCTGCCGCTCCCCCTGCTTGTGCTCTCTTTCTCTCTCTCTGTCAAATAAATAAATAAAAATCTTTTTAAAAAATATGAAAGGAAATGCTGGGGAGGAGGAGCTAATGTAGTTGAACATTTTCGTTTCCAGGCTATGGGATCAGATAGGATAGAGTTGGCAGAGGGCTACTCTTTTTGTTAGAAACCATGCCGTGTATGTGACTTGGACAACGATGTGTGCTTTTCTTTTTTTAGTGATCACTTCGATAAAAAATCAAAAATGAGTTTAAAAACCACCCCCAGAGTCTTGTGGTGGCTGTTAAATAGGAATAAGGAGAAGCACCTTTGCCTGGTGGTGCACATGGCAGGCCCTCAGCGAATGCTAGTTTCCTGCCTTCTGTCAGCTAGACGGGGTATGTGCTTGCAGTGACAGTCATACGACTCAGGGATGAGGTGGGTGGCTAAACAGCAATGTGAGCTATGTCACAAAGCAATTTAGGCGCCCCTCTCTCTCTCTCTCTCTCTCTCTTTTTTTAATGGATGGTTTCATTTTTCTTGGAACCATATCAACCTGATGGTTACTGTTTCTTAGAATTTATTAGACTTCTGTGCAACTGACACATGAAAAATTCCCCAGCTCTTGAGTGGATTTAGTGAGCTACGCATGGAACAAACTTAAAAATACTTAGCAACTTTGAAATTACTCTGATGAATCTGAAACCAGTAATATCTATGATAGTATCTCTACCGAGATTATACATTATTTAAGGCCATGGACATTTTCTGTCTCTTCTCTCTCTTCTTACGTCAGCTAGCTGTTTTATTTCCCTGGTGCACAGTGCCTAGCTCACAGCCAGCTTTGTTCTTTGAGCCCTAACTGTGGTGGATGGTAGTGACTGATGTTGAAAACAAAGCCAGCCAGCAGAAAGCTCTTGTGCGTTTCACCTAGGACACCTGTTTATATGACAAGACTATAAACTCCCTGTGGACAGAGACCATATCTTCCGTCATATCAGCGTGCCCTGTAGCATCTAGCACAATGAATGCCATGCACTAGTACATAATTCATTTTGTCATCAGCTGTGTACTGAACACCTAAGTGCTTGGCACTGTGCTAAGCTGTAAGGATCCTCAGGGCACTGGACAGATAGACTCCTGCTATCTCAGAATTTGCATTCTAACAAAATTGTGTTGAGTTTAGTAAACCAGTAGCCCAGTAAAATAATGGCCCACACCGAACCGTTTAAGCAGCATAAAGAATTGCCTCTGTAAAGAGTCGAATCATTTTCAGCTGTGTTGTATGATGTATGTGCATGCTATGAGAAGGAAATCATGGTATCTGACCTTTTTTCCTCTTTGCTTTTCTTTGTAGATAAGATGCTCCAAGTCAGTTGCAGCTCTCCTCAGAAGAAAAGTCACTAGTGCTCTGCTCTTGCCATAATACCAAACCTTCTGACCTAAGCTTTGGTGCTGCCACACTGGAAGAATCACACACAGGTTCCAGGAATACCTTTTTTTTTTTTTTTTTGAGTGATTCTTTGTGGATGGAAAAAGATTTGAGTCTTAATAATTACCCTGTTTTAAAGCTATTTCTCTACAGTCTGATCTGCGTTCTGCATCGGGCCACTCACCCATGAGCCACGCAGCCAGCTCTCGCCAGGAGCAGGTGGAAAGCTGCGCCGTGCATGCAGCAGGGATGGCCCAAGAAGATAGCCGTCGGGCTCCAGTGCCATCTGCCTTTTATCATGGTGCCAACCAAGAACTTGACCTGTCCACCAAAGTGTACAAAAGGGAATCGGGAAGTCCTTACTCTGTGTTAGTGGACCCCAAGATGAGCAAGCCCCATCTCCACGACGCCGAGGAACAGCCGTATTTCAGGGAGCCGAGGGCCGTGTCTGACGTGCGCGCCGTTAAGGAAGACCGGGAGAACTCTGATGACACGGACGAGGAGGAGGAGGAGGAGGTTTCTTACAAAAGGGAGCAGATCATAGTGGAGGTAAACCTTAATAACCAAACATTAAATGTGTCTAAAGGGGAAAAGGGTGTCTCTTCTCAGTCCAAAGAGACTCCTGTTCTTAAGACAAGCAGCGAGGAGGAGGCGGAGAGTGGGGAAGAAGCCACCGACGACAGCAATGACTGCGGCGAGAACAGGAGGCGGAGGAAGGAGAGGACAGCAGAGAAGGCCAGCGTCCCACACAGGAGAGCCAGGAGGGCCGGCTCCGCGGCCGCGGCCGCCACTTCCCCGACTCCCAGGACCACAAGAGGCCGTAGGAAGAGCGTAGAGCCGCCGAAGCGCAAGAAGCGGGCTGCCAAGGAGCCCAGAGCGCCCGTCCAGAAAGCTAAGTGTGAAGAGAAGGAGACTCTGACCTGTGAGAAGTGCCCCAGGGTGTTTAATACTCGCTGGTACCTGGAGAAGCACATGAACGTTACTCACAGGCGCATGCAGATTTGTGATAAGTGTGGCAAGAAGTTTGTCCTGGAAAGTGAGCTGTCCCTTCACCAGCAAACAGACTGTGAAAAAAATATTCAGGTAGGTCTCACCACCGAGAGGGCACACTTTCCAGGATAGCACCTGGCTGTTCAGACTCACCTGGTATCTGCCCAAGAGAATAAATGCAGTAGAGGCTGAAGGGACAGTTTTCACCGATGTATCTTTTTTAAAAAAGCTCCTGCTTTGGTCTTTTCAAAACCCGGGCTTAACCTTTTCTTTCAAAAGCATTACACTTACCTGACGCTGGACTAGTGGGAACGCAGGCACACTGGAAGGGGGAATCCGTTCTAGGTGATTGGTTGCCCAGGAGGTAAAGTCAACACCGACTTTGCACTGAGAGTCACTGTTGTGAGACGTGTAATATAGAATTCATTCTGGCATCTTCTCTGTCAAGGTGGGAGATACTGAGTGAAGGTCAGGAATAGAGAGAGGTCCCCTTCTAGGTTTGGAAGGATGCCAGATTCTAGTGCAGCTGATGGGGACAAAAACCATAATGACTCAGACCGGTGAAAATGGAAGATCTTCAGGAGTGAGTTTGCTTTTACCAGTGGAGAGATGACAACATTAAATTTATCAAGAGGCTGAGCCCATGGGAATATGCAAACTTTAAACAGAGGCTGAGTTGGTTGAAAATGTTGCCCACCTGGCGGTAGGGGTATGTAATGCTACTGTACAGTATTATTAAGGTAATAGAATGTGGTTTTCGAACCAGGCCGATGTCTTAAAAGGACTATATTGTGATAGGTTAAGAGGTGTGCTAATTATATTCTGTCGAGTGAATTATATTATGTTGAGCTGTATTGGTTTGTACCTGTGAGTGCATATTAATGAATATTCATAAAAGGTAAGTCTATTACTATCTCCATCAGATATGTAAAATACAAATGTGTTGTGCCATATTTAAGCCAAACTTCTTTTGAAAAATACAATTGTTTTGTTTTGGTTTGTTTCATGGAGTGCGCTTGCTCTGGAGTGCTCCTTCTTTTTCACTTCACCTCTCGCTTTTAATCAACAACTGAGATCATTGCTTTACTTTAAAGGGATTTTTTTAAATATAAACTATGTTTGCCAAAAATTCATTGCTTTTGGATTCATCAGTTGTGACTTGGTCTCTTACACGCTCGGTAATAAAAGAAGGCAGAGCCGTGGCGCCCAGACCCTCCGGTAACTACCACTGGCCTTACTTGGTTATGAGTTGGTTGTGACAGTTCAGGCCGAGGGGAGTGTGATGCAGTGCTGCACCCTAGGGGTCAGACTCGGGTTCTCTGATGACTCATTGCTGAAAGGTGTATCTACCGATATCCATAAAGTTGTGGTTTCTTTGTTTGGGGGTTTTTTACTTAAATTTGCTTTATTAAGTTACAGAAAGAAAACATTTACTACCTCCTCATTCTGTGGCTTTCCTCACTGTTGCTCACCATAAGGCACTTCAGCTTGCATTCAGGTTTTGTGGATTCTGCTGAAAGAGCTCTCTTTACATTCCTGAAGAATACTGCTTTGTTCATACGTATAAACCCTCATGATCCTGGCGGCCTAGTAACGAGTAAAAACTGAAACCCTGCCCTGCACAGTGGCTTGTAGGGGTAGGTCTGTCCTTCTCTCGAGCGGGTCCAACCAGAGGCTTACTTATTTTTTTCACTCTTCTCAGAGTCCTTGTTTCCTGAAGTGACTGTAATGTTCAGAGATTTCTATTTCCAGGGAATAGCTAACTTGTTCCCTTAAATGTCTCCGAGTTGGTGGGTACCCAGAACTTTCTAGTATTGTTTTGCTTTAACCAGAAGCACTTTATTCTGATACCCTTTAGGCCTGATATTCCAGACTGTTACCGATTCATAATACAAGGAACTGAACTAGGCACTGTTGCGTGTGTTTCCTGCAGATGCGTGTACCGGAGATCGGGGGCTGGCTACCAGGGAAAGGGAGGATGATACTGGTGGCTTAGAAGGGACATGTCCTATAGAGTAAATTAGATATGGGAAAATACAATAAAATCTCACTAATTTGTGTTAATGAAATCTTCCAAATGCCTTCTTTAAGGTACAGAAGCATTGTTACACTTCCACAGATCTATAACTGTTAATATGTGTTTTATCTCATTTTTATTTATGCTCATTTAAAATTAGTTTGTATTCCCTGGTAAATACCTGTTAACCGCTTAGTGACCTATGTGTAGGAAGCAGCTGCTCTTGGTAATCCATTTATTTTTGAAAACTTGGTTCTTCTCCATTGGTACTATACTGATTAAAAGCAGTCAAGTCTTTTCTGTTAGCGGAACTTTCCACTTCTTTTTGTCTTACTTTTTGTCATTGTTTTCGTACTCCCAAAGCATCTCTAAAAGATGCATCTTGAAAAATAGAACATACAGATGTTGGTGTTGGCATCTGGACTCCTCGGAGGACTGGCATTTGTTTGTTTGGATTCTGGCCTTTTGCCACGAATCTCTAGCATGCCCGTTTCATCAGCCAGTAGGCAGCTACGGCTTTCTGCAAGCCCCTGTAAATAAAGATTATTTCTATTTATCCTGCTCAGTGTGTTTCCTGTAACAAATCTTTCAAGAAACTCTGGTCCCTTCATGAACACATCAAGATCGTCCATGGATATGCAGAAAAGAAGTTTTCCTGTGAAATTTGTGAGAAGAAATTCTATACCATGGCTCATGTGCGGAAACACATGGTTGGTAAGTTTCTTCTGCTTTTCTCTCATGCCTCTAATTTGTCCTTGTTCTTTGGTGTGTTTTACGCTTCGGGTGGGGCAGGATCCGAGGAACGCCTTCCTTTAATCCGTTCTGACTTGTCGAAACTAACTGTAGCATGTCCTCCGTAAGCATCACCGACTGGCCCGGGACAGGTTCCTTTCCAACCTTGTGATTTCTGTTTATCTTCAGAACGTTGCTATTAAGGCCTCACAAATTAAAGTGTAGAAAGTCCAGATGGCTTGAGTTCCTTGCAGTCCCAGCAAAGGACATGAGCTTTCCCAGCTTGAGCTTTTCGGTGGGCTTATTTTGAGTACAGTGCATTCTGTGTTGCAGCACACACGAAAGACATGCCATTTACATGCGAAACCTGTGGAAAGTCATTCAAACGCAGCATGTCCCTCAAGGTGCACTCCTTGCAGCATTCTGGAGAGAAACCCTTCAGATGCGAGGTAAGGAACGTGCTGCCCCCCAGGCCTAAGGGACGAGCTTTTGTGTTCGTGGTGAGCGGTGAGGGAGAGGTGTGCATAGGACAGGCAAGAGGCCCTCCAGACACACGCCCTGAGCGAGTGCCCCATGTCAGCTCACAGCCAGATAAAGGTCATCTTAACCTCTCAGACTAGGTTAAGCCCGGGAATAACACACGATGAGTTATTTGTCTTCCCTCAGTAATCCAGAGAAGTTGGATGTAACTTCAGTGCTAATTATTTGAGAAAATCCCCCTTTTATGAATAACTGAGCAGCAGAAATAGAGCGGAGCCAAATAGTTGACACAGCAGGTCCTATTTTAAGTGTGAAAAAGAAACCTAATCTCAGAGACTTTGTAGGGTGGGCTCAGGTAAAGCTACTGTGCTTGGCATTCAAAAATCTCCACTGTGTCCAATGCAGAACTGTGACGAAAGGTTTCAATACAAGTACCAGCTACGCTCCCACATGAGCATCCACATTGGGCACAAACAGTTCATGTGCCAGTGGTGTGGCAAGGATTTCAACATGAAGCAGTACTTCGACGAACACATGAAAACACACACTGGTAAGAATTTCTTGGGAAAAGTACAGATATGTCTCAAGCACTTGTTGATGATCACCTGTGCGTCTGTTTACATAAAAACCGAAAGCACGAATTTGCATTCTCAGGGCAAATTCTACTTGAAATAAACCTGGCATATAAAAATACAGATTTATTAGCCTGAAAAATTTGGGCTTTCATCACTCTGTTCATTTAAAAAAAGGATTATTGGTGAGTGCCTTTTAACTGTGGGTCCCTTCAAGATACTGGATTCTTTGCTTAGGGCACAGGATCTCCTAAAATTGTATGCGGCTTGTTTTGTGTATGTGCCTTGTGCACAATATGTGTGTTATTTTTTTTAAAGGAAAGACTTCTGGGCCTTTCAAAACTGAAGGACACTGACTGCTTTAAATAGAATACCCTCTCAGTGTGCTTCAAGTTTGATCGGATTGGATTTCCCCAAAATTACCACTTTTCAGGAACAACTCCCATCAGATGAAGTTAAATCATATTTTAACCATTTTGTGTTTGTAGAGGTTTTTGCTTCCTAGCATGGATGTGAATCTTGTAAGCATTTGACTACCCAGTTTGCAGGGAACTGGCTGAAGTAGTAGCTAGCTCCCCCTGTAAACCCTGCATCATTGTATCTCAGCCTTAACTTGGTTTTCTGGGGTTAGCTAGTCTTTGTACAAATTGAACAGTATGAACCATTTTTTGGATTTCAACATAAAATCTAATCGTGGGATTCTACATTCTGTTTGTCCATAGAGTAGCAGAGCTAGAAAGAACCACAAGAGATGATCTTGCTTAGCCCCTTGCTCTTTTTTGTTCAACCAGAGCCAGAGGTGAAGAAACTCTACCATGGCTGGATCGCTTTAGTTCGCAATTTTCTGTTGAAGTCCAGAGAAAAATGCCTGCCCAGTGGGCTTCCTCCCCATTCAGAGCAGAGCACCCTCCGATTTTAAGGATTAGTCTAGATGAAGAGTCATGAGAGGAGTTTAATTAGATAAATTACCCCTTAAAGGGTAATGAGAACTTTAAGTGGATGGACGGCAGGATATAGCAGAGTAATTAACAAATTCTCCTCTTCTAATTTGGTGGCTTTTGGACAGGCTCTTAGTTCCGAGTCGCTTTTAGGATTCAGTCTTTTGTTGTAAAGCAGGAAGCTGTGGAACTAGATAGAAAATAAGCTTCTTTGAAGGCAGAAGTTGTGTTATTCTCACACACGATGCTTGGGACATGGTGGCCCCAGAGATGTTGGCTGCGGCCGCATCATTTGCTGGAAGGAACTGGGAGCCCCTGACACCCCTGCACTGCCCTGCCGTCCTCTTCCCTGCCCTCTCCTGGGCGTCGTTCTCCCGGTTCCCTCTTCTCACCTCCTTCTGCCTTTCTCCTCCTTCCTTCCCCTTTGTCCTTCTTCCTGTAGACCTGAAATGTCCATGATATGAAACCAGAGTATATATTTTGTGACTGTCATGTTTGTTGAATAAAAGTTTATGTTAAATATTCTTCTTTGACCAAATAGGCAAGCTCCACATTTCCTATTTCTCCCAAAGAAATATAGCCACCTAATAGCCTTCTCATTAAAAGAGTAGTACATACTTACTAAAAAGAATATGAGAAAATGTGAAAGTTAATAACAAAACTGATCATCGCTGAAACCCTACTGTCAACATTTGGCATACATTTTTAAAAAATTCTTTAGTTTCTTAATACACATATAGTTAGATACTATACATAAGTGTTTATGTATTCATGTATATAGACATAAAACAAAAATTGGGCCTTTATTATAACTGGCTTTTCCTTTTGACTGTACTATGTCATTAACAGCAGTATCATTTTTTAAATTTTTTATTGTTATGTTAACCACCATACATTACATCATTAGTTTTGGATGTAGTGTTCCATGAATCATTGTTTGTGCATAACACCCAGTGCTCCA